CTTATACACTTCTGAAGGTGATGTTTCCTTTCTCTAACCCTTCCCCAAAGAATTCTATACTCTGATGTACTCCACATCAAAATGGTAGTTTTGGCATTCTCAAGGGACTCCAGTCATGTTCCTCTAAAATGCTCTTTGAGTTTTGGGAAGATCAGGGTATTGGGTGATGCAACAAGATTTCTCACAAGGCAGCCCTTGAAGGAACAGGTGCATTGTTGTGATGAAAAACAATTTTTTTGTTGTTGTTTTCTTGGTGCAACTTTCCTGCCCCTGTTCTCACCCCCGTAGTTTCTTTTTTAACTTTCTTAAAATCTCTTCCTAATAAGTCCCTGTGTCCTGCAAGAAACTCTAGCAAGGTTATCCCTTTGGAGTCCCAGAAACACTTGCCATAACATTCAAAACTGACCTCCCTGCTTTGAATGTAATTGGCCCAGCAGATACCTCAGGAGCCGCTGTTCTCATTGGTCCTTGCTCTCTGGGTCATTTTGGAAAATCCGAAATTTGTCCCTCGTTACGACTCATTTCATGAAACCACCTTCCTTAGCTTTGATCTTGCTTAAAAGACTAATGAACGATCAATTGATCTTCACGCAACACCTTTGGCACCCATGAGGCAGGAAAGGCTTGCTGAGGGCAAGATGTTCCCTTAAAATTGAAACTGCTGAGCCATGTAAGATCCCAACTTCAGTAGCTATTGCATCAATGGGAACCTCCTCCCACCAGTTGCGGACTCCGGTCACAGTTCTCTTTCATCAAGGTTGATGGTCTTGTCTCTTGGTCCATCTTTGAGGCCTTCCTTAGAGCACTCGACCCATCTAAACATTGGTTCCTGTGGGGCAGCAGACCTATAAAGTTGTTGCAAAGCATCAGTGATTTGGGAAGATGTTCACCTGAATTTTTGTTAAAAATTTGATATCAGGTCTAAGTTTAAAATCCTCTTTTGCCATGACACAAAAAGAATCCCCCCTCTTTTTTCTGAAGGCGCCCTGATGAGACTAAACCAAATGTATTACTGAGAGAACTTATCTGAAACTATCCACTGATTACTGAAACAGTAATTACAATGTTTAAACATTTTGTTTAGAATAAATTCTTGCAGCAATACTTTTTAACCCACCCTCATCTTATGGGCTCTTCAAAGCTCGTAAGAAGAATTTTTGTTCTGTAGGTTTTGATGAAGTCAACAGAGGGCAGATTTAGCGAGTTGGTTTAGGGAATGTTTGGTATGTAACCAAGGGAATGGGTGTCAGAAACACCGGATTTTGTGCAGCCTGTGGCAAGTGAGAAGCCTGCATAGTGCTCACAACCTGTTACCCTGGATTACGCTGAGCCAAATGGGAAATACAGCTGAGAAATAACTTGAGCAAACGACAGAGCGCTTATTCTGTTTTAGGTTGTAGAGGCAGTGGCAATCCAAAAATAACAGTAGCTGTAGTAAACATTACCAATACTTAACGAGCACCAAGTTTGTACCAGGCACTGTGCTATGAGTTTGACGTGTATTATTGAATCCCAACCTTGTGAACTTTTTTTTAAAGTCATTTTATTGGGGGCTCATACAACTCATCACAATCCATGCATACATCAGTTGTATAAAGCACATTTGTACATTTGTTACCCTCATTGTTCCTTTTATTTTAATTATTTTATTGAGAGCTCGTACAATTCTTATCACAGTCCATACATACGTCCATTGAGTCAAGCACATATGTACACCTGTTGCCCTCATCAATCTCAAAACATTTGCCCTCTACTTTAGCTCTCAATATCATTTGCTCATTTTTCCCCTCCCACCCTCCTCCCTCCTGAATCCTTCATAATTCATAAATTATTATAGTTTGTCATAAATTACACTGTCCGACATCTCCCTCCGTCCTCTGCTGTCCATCCCCCAGGGAGGAGGCTATACTTAGATTCTTGTAATTGGTTCCCCCCTTCTACCCCACATTCCCTTCACCCTC